TCATACTCGTTGGTCTCCCTGGTCCCTGACAATATCATCCTCCCCTCCTCTCTCCCACCCGTCCTCATAATCCTGCTCATCCACATTGGCAAAATTAGATACCTGACCGGTATTTTCTGGCCCTCAAACCCTCTCCTTTCTCCACTCCACTCTCTGCGACCCCCTCCCCCCGATTTCTCCTTCCTTCCGCTTCTCCCTTCTTTTCATCCTCCACCCCTTCCTCGTCCTCCTCCTCCTCCTGCTCCTCCTCCTCCTCCTTCACCATCATCATCATTTTCATGATAAGCATCATCGCCATCGTCATCGTCATCTTCGTGGTCGCCGTGGTCGTCCTACTCATCACCACCACCATCATAGCCAACACAAAGCGCGTCATCGTCAATCCCCCTTTCCCTTCTCCTCCTCCTCCTCCTCGTCCTCCTCCTCCTCCTTCTCCTCCTCCTGTCCTCCGTCCTCCTCCTCCTCCTGCCCCTCCTCGTCCTCCTCCTCGTCCTCTTCGATCTCCCCATCATCGTCCCTTTCCCCGCGACAACCTCGTCTTCCTCGCCCCCGCGCCGCGGCGGCGAAAGGCGCCGCCTTGAAGGTGGGGTGACGGGGGCAGCCCAGCGGCAGCTGCACGTAGCATCCGGAGGACTGCGGGGTCTCCTGGGCGGGGAGGAGGAGGAGGAGGAGGAGGAGGAGGAGAACGACCCTCCGATGAAAGGGACGAGAAGAGGGCAAGCGGACAAGAAAGGGACGAGACGGGGGCAAGAGTCCATCCGTCAGAGCCTGTATTTGGTCAGGCTTCAGCCAGGCATCTCGTGAGCAGCACACGCATTTTGCGGCTGCGCCTCGCGAGAACACGAGCACGGGCAGCCAGGAGACTCTGAACCTCCTTGGGTCCAAATCTCCCCCCGGCACGCAGAGTGTGAAAGGTCGTACGAATCAAACACGAATTGCCTCCGCCGAGAACACAGCACCCGAATTTACATTAAACGATACCCTGAGGGAACCAACGCGACGTCGGCCAAGAATTGCAAACGGCATGGAGATAGGCACTGCAAATCTAGGATACACTCTATCTGAAGTTGCGACGTCGTGTTTGGCCCCGTGAGTTTCCTGTAAGATGATTATCCTATACTGCGCACAGGGACGAGCAAGCCACGAATGTTTCTTACACTGACGGGTAGGTCTACCCCACAGACTTCTAAAGAGAGCAGCGGAATTCCAACATGCAACAGAAAATTGGCCCGAGACGCAACACGGCTGATGCAAGACAAGGCGAGAGGGCAGGGCAGCAGGGAACGGAGACGCGGAGGAACTGCAGTTCCTCACGCCATACGGAATTCGAGGCGCAGACCCAACAGCCTCAGCATCCTCGGACGACCCAGAAGTAGAGCTAGAACTAGTCGAGGAGGAACTTGACCCACTGGCAGACGAGGAGTCGCCCCTCTTCCTTTTGGCGGCAGCGACGCAGCCCAGGACAGGAGGAGGACCATCATCTCCGCTAGCCGGGACCGTCAGGCGGGCTTCTTGTCGAGCTTGCACAGGACAAAATCAGGCGTTCAGCACGGCCTCGGGAATCTCGAACATCTTGGCGTCTGGCACCACCATGAACGCGAAGGCGTCCTTGCCACCTCCTGTGTCTGCAACTGGGGACAATTTGACCGAATCGGAAATCTCCTGAGCGTCAGGGCAGGTCAAGTGGAGCGCGCCAGTGCGCGAGCTGGAGCCAAGACGAAAGGACCCTTCTCCACTTGCCATGCTCGTCAAAGATTGCACGCATCAACTCGCAGCACTTGCCAAGAGCGGACCTTTGGTGTCGAACATGGGAGAGGTTGATCATACCCAACTCGGCCTGGCATGTCTTGACGATTCTTAGTATCCCTCCAGAGGAGGTGGACAGCCGATCCTGCATCCTTGCCCCAGCAGAAGAATGCCATGGCAGCCTCCTCGGACTGGAAGCGGATGTTGTAACAGTACGAGTAGCTCTGGCACCGGGAGGACGGCACCATCCAGCAACAAACCTGAAGCTGCCTTGAGCAGTTCGCAGTGGTTCACGAAAACACGGTTCAGCAGCTTCCTGGTGAATCCCCGAATCCAGATCTTGCAGCGGCCACCAACTTCACCACCGTCTCGAAGAGGAGAGTGACTACGAGGCTTGGGTCCAGCACGCGCGGGTGGAACAGGACATGCCGCACACGATGGCCCCGTCGGAGCATGCCTGGGTCTCTTGCACCCGCTGGGGCCCAGGAAGCGGCTCCAGGGATCTGGGCCAAAGACCTCCACACGATCTGCACTGACAACGGAGGGTGCAGACCCTGCCATGGTAGCGATCGCCTTCATGAGGGTGCTCCCAATGGTGGTCAGCTTGGCGTCCAGCTGGGCGGCGGTGACCAGCTGAGACGGACATGGAGGCAGTTCTTGCGACAGGTTGTCCTCATCGAGCGGCTTCGCACTGACGGAGTTCCAGCACAACAGGCGCGCCTCCTCCACCGAAACCTTCATATTCTGTGCTCCAGGCGCAGCTTGTCGATCTGGGCGTCAAGCTTCTCGTCCATCTCGTGGATCTCGCCGACCGTGGACTGTAGATCAGCACGTAGAGGAGCGACCTGGAGGGAGATGGCCCCACCGATGGCCTGGAAGTCTTCGGGCGAGAGAGCAGCGCGCGCCATGGCAGAGAGAAACTGTGTGCCCGCTTGGGAACGAACCCAACATGGCCCCTTCAAGAGAGGCTGCCCACCCAAGCGTCCCAGCACTTGAGCCAAAATGGCAACGGAGGAGAAGGAGGAGGAGGAGGAGGACGGAGGACGGAGGAGGAAGACGGAGGAGAAGGAGGGACGAGGAGGAGGACAGAGGAGAGGAGGAGGAGGAGGAGGAGGATGGAGGAGAAGGACGAGGAGGAGGAAAGAGAAGGAGGGAGGAGGAGGAGGAGGAGGAGGAAGAGGAGAAAGAGGAGCAGAAGGAGGAAGAAAGAGCAAGCAACTGAGGAGGCTGGGGAGCAGGAGCAAGAGGAGGAGAAGGAGAAGGAGTAGGAAAACGAGGAGGCTCAGAGGCGGAGGGGAAACAAGGGGAAGGAGCAGCATGTGGAAGATCAGGGGACGACGACGACGACGACGACGACGACGACGACGACGACGACGACGACGACGACGACGACGGACGACACACGACGGACGACCCACGACGGACGACGGACGACGGACGACGGACGACGGACGACGGACGACGACGACGACGACGACGACGACGACGACGACGACCCCGCGGTCGATCGAGGACTGGGTCTGGTTGAAGCCCTCGCTAATCACAAGTGAGGAATCCGAGGAAGAGGAGCTGGAGGGAGAAGAAGAGAACAAGGGGGGCTCGGGGCTCGGAATCATGATTGAACTCGTACGGTCCGGTTCAAAGAAGGAAGACGACGACCACCACGACGACGACGACGACGACGACGATGACGACGACGGCGACGCCAACGGCATCTCTCCCAATCGGCCCAAGTCCGCTAAAAATCGATCCCTGGACCACTCCCCGGGTCAGTTGGATCCGGCCGTGGCAACCGGAAGCATCCAGGAGCCCTGGACAAGGACGAAAACTGCCATGGAGGGCCACAACTGCTCCGACTCGCGATACGCCCTCGTCCGACACCCACGATACCCACCACGAGGGGCGGCGCTCCTGGCTCAGCAGCATGGACGTCTCCGGCTGCTCCAGGACCGCGTCTTCTGGGCGAGCGCAGGCCGACGGGGAGGGGGGCGGGGGGTCACGACTACAGCCATCGTCAACAACCACCCCATACTAACGGCGAAGGATGAGGAGGAGGAGGAGGAGGAGGAGGAGGAGGAGAAAGAGAAGGAGAAGGAGAAGGAGAAGGAGAAGGAGAAGGAGAAGGAGAAGGAGAAGGAGAAGGAGAAGGAGAAGGAGAAGGAGAAGGAGAAGGAGAGAGGAGAAGGAGAAGGAGAAGGAGAAGGAGAAGGAGAAGGAGAAGGAGAAGGAGAAGGAGAAGGAGAAGGAGAAGGAGAAGGAGAAGGAGAAGGAGAAGGAGAAGGAGAAGGAGAAGGAGAAGGAGAAGGAAGGAGAAGGAGAAGGAGAAGGAGAAGGAAGGAGAAGGAGAAGGAGAAGGAGAAGGAGAAGGAGAAGGAGAAGGAGAAGGAGAAGGAGAAGGAGAAGGAGAAGGAGAAGGAGAAGGAGAAGGAGAAGGAGAAGGAGAAGGAGAAGGAGAAGGAGAAGGAGAAGGAGAAGGAGAAGGAGAAGGAGAAGGAGAAGGAGAAGGAGAAGGAGAAGGAGAAGGAGAAGGAGAAGGAGAAGGAGAAGGAGAAGGAGAAGGAGAAGGAGAAGGAGAAGAAGAGAAGGAGAAGGAGAAGGAGAAGGAGAAGGAGAAGGAGAAGGAGAAGGAACGAGGTGAGGCAATTGAGCGAGAGGAGGAGGAGGAGGAGGAAGAGGAGGAGGAGGAGGAGGCCCAGCTAGCCCCTGGCGCCTGGAAACACTGGGCAACTGGCTCCGACTACTCCGTGCACCCGATACATGGAGTAGTCGGAGCAGTCGGGGCCCATTGATGCGTGGTGCCCGGGGCTGGAAGCCGATTAAAATCAAACCGAAATTAAATTGGGGCCCTGCTGGAAATTTATGGAAACCACATGAGGGTTATAGAACTTCACATTGAGAAGAAAGTACACGGAAATGTAAATGAGATGCGAGTACACCCATATGAGATTGCCATACTACGGGAGCCCAACTGGGATCCTGGGTGGCTATCAAAATCCAACCCTGCTGGACACACGGAATAGTCGGAGCGAATTACTTTGTGTATCCTGGTGCTGGAAGCCGGTAGAATCCAAGTGGAATCGAATTGGGACCCTGTTGGGCCCCCATCATAATCCTAAGAAATACATGGAATAGCCAGATGATGTTCAGATCCTGATGATATCAAATCCGATTGGATTGGCATAGAAATCGCAGTAAAGCCCGATTGGGATCCAATGTGAATCTTATCGGGATATAATTAAAATTCTATTATATACATGAATTAGTCTGTGCAATCGATTACAAGAATAATGAGAGACGTTACTCTGCGTATGCAACTGGCTCCCAATGAAATCCCGAATGCATTCGGGTTCGATCCCAAAAACAACATCATTCTTGCGACCCCCGGATACACGGAATGGTCAGCTCCGACTAGTCCGAGTACCCCGTGTAATGGATACGCGGAGTAGCTGGTGCCAACTACTTGCATAATCTGCCGTTTCTAACAATACCTGGCATACTCTATTCGCACTCAGCGGGACAAGACAAAACAAACTCCGACTACTCGTGTGCAGCGGTATCCGTCGCGGGAAATCCGTCCGACCGATAAACGGATAAACCGACAAGAACTAATCGGCTGATCGGTGCACCGACCGATCAACCGAAAAAACACTATTATGTTATCGGTGTATTGGAATATCGGTCGATCAACCAATCAAACGATACATCAGCTGCGAGCGCAGGGGCGCTCCCCGGCACGCCCGTTAGGTCCCTCGGCTCATCGGTTCATCTTTGGGGAATCAATAGGAACCAGGCATACTCCGCAGGAGTCCTGAGAAATCCTGCGGGATCGTTCAGCGGTTTACTGGTTTATCGATTTACCAGCTTACCGGTTTATTGATTTACCTGTTTATCAGTTTACCAGTTTATCGGCGCGCACTATCCGAAGAATCCTTGGGGAGATCCTTCGGAATTCTTCGGGGGCTTTTGGAATCCATCGGGATCCTAAAAATCCTTTTAGGATTACCGGGAACCCTCAGGTGTATTAAGAAAGCCTCGGGGATCTGGAAAGACAGCCAAAAATCGACCTCCGGACCCATCCCGGGGTGCGTCTGTACCAGAACTTCGAAGGGGGATCCAGCCGTGGCCACGAGGATTTCGAAACCGAAATCCTCGATCCTCGAAGTTCGATCCTCGATCTTCGAAATTCGATCCGCGATCCTCATCCAAGGATGCGTCTGGGCCTTAATTTCGAAGCGGACCAGTCGAGGCGACGAGGTGCCTCCCCGAGGCGTAAAAATGTCTGCAACGTAAAGGAGCACGTTCGAACTCGAAGCTCGACATTCGACGAAAAAATCTGCTACTGCTGCACTGCGGCTGGTGCTGGGCCGAGCGGTCCCTCGACCCCACCTTCGACATCGACTTCGCGCCTCGGGTTCTTTTCTGCGGGCCTGAAGGGCTCCCCGAGGGCGCAAGACGAAAGCGACTACCAAAGTCGACGAAAAAATGACGACGACGACGACGACGACGACGACGACGACGACGACGACGACGACGGACGACGACAACGACGACGACGACGACGACGACGACGACGGCGACGACGACGACGGCGACGACGACGGCGACGACGACGGCCGGGAGGACGGCCTGCTGTACTGCGGTTGGAGCTGGGTCCATTCGCCGGGGGCCCAGAAGTCTGGACCCCTTCTCCGGGGGCAAGCTTTTCGTCCCAGATCCGTTTTTGTTGGTCTCCGGGACCCGACAACGGCCACCGGAGGCCGAGATCGACGAACAGCAGCCGGGATTTAAAAATCAGATCACATCGCCGGAGATCTGGGGAGACCGCCGGGGGGACGGCCTGCTGTACTGCGGCTGGTACATTACGACGGTCCCAGATCTGAGAACGCCTGGGATGGATCCAGGTGTCCATCTACCCCTTCTGTGTCTTCAACAGAGGCTGCAGGTTCGGATACACTCCCCGCAATATAGAGCCGACATTTCGAGGGCATGGCCTCCAGTTTTACGTCAATTGCGTGCTCTCCCTGTCGGTCATCGTACTCGGCATTTCTGAGGGCCCCTCGCCGCTACGGTTCACCGGTTGCTTCTTTGGGGATTGGGATCCTGCGCGTGCAAATCAATGGCACGGGCCATCCGGTCTAGGCGACAATATACCAAAGTGTTCATGGAATTATAATTCCTCTGATTTGGTCGGCATGAACAACACTCGGGGGCTGCTCGAGGAATTCGTATGGAGTCGTCAGGCACGGCAGTGGCGGCAGGCTAGGAAGCACTACCTCGGTGCAGGCCTGAAGGTGGGGCCGATAATCAAAGTTTGCGATGTCTCCTGAAACATTTGCAGGCGGCCCCTCACGGCAAGCAGTTGTCCGAACTTCTTTTGAGTATCGCTGCGGGAGGTTGCTGACTGGCGACTCGCAAGCAACAGGCTGGTGTATGTCCTTGCTCTATCTGTCCTCGGTGCCAAGCGGATCCTGAATCCTCACTTCATCGGCAATGGTTGTGTCCCAAGAACGTGGGTCACGACATGTACGAAGCATCGAACGAGGTTTTGATAGAGGCGACGGCTCACGAGGATGAAGCTTGCATTTGGCACCGAGGTCTTCTTCCTCGTCACTGGACTTCTGTAAAACCTCTCGCCAGCAGCGGACACTGGGTAGGCACTGGGCCCGCAGGTCCCCTTGAAGAAGTTTGTCTCGGGCACGGTTCCCCTCAGGACCCCCTTGTAATTTGCGGGGACACCTCTGGAGGTGCTGATGCTCGACACCCTCGTCTCCGTCGTGTCGGTATCCGTACCGTGGTGGTCAAACAGATTTTGCCGCTTGTATTTGATGTTTCGGATGCTGGGAGAGAGCGTGATCCACCGCCGCTTTACTGTGTAAAATTGCCGCCCTTTTCCTCCAGAACCCGGGGGTCCCCCCCCCCCTCCGAAAATCCCCCCCCCGCTGGACCCCCCCCCCTCCCCCGGCAAAACCCCCCTCCCCTAACCCCTCCCCCCCCCTCCCCTTCGAAACCGGGGGGGGTCACTACCAGTTCGAAAAAAACCAAAGAGGGGGATCACTACCGGTTCGAACCCCTCCACACACACACCCTCGCACCGCCAGCAAACGACTCCCGGTCCCTACCACCGTCCTCACCACATCCCCAATGTTGTTCCCAGCACCACTCACCACCACTGTCCCCACTGGTTCCACCACCGCCCCTACTATCCCCACCAGTGCCACCACCACTGTTGCACTGTCCCCACTGTCCCCACCACTGTTCCCACCACGGTTCCACTCTCCCAACTTTCTCCACGGCCCCAACCACTCACTGCCCGACTATCCCCACTGTCCCCACTGTCCCACTGACTCCTCCGCTGTCCCACTGAGCTGTCCCACTGTTCCCACCACTGTCCCCACTGTTCCCACCACTGTCCCCACTGCACCTCTGTCCCATTCTCCCACCGCCGTTCTCGCCACCGCCTTCACCACTGTCCCCACCACCACTGTACCATCCACTGTCCCACTGTTTCCACCACATTCCCACTGTCCCCACACCACTGTCCCCACCACCACCGTCCCCACCACTGTCCCACTGTCCCCACTGTTCCCACCATTGTCCTCACCACTGTCCCCACCACTACAGTCCCCACCACTGTCCCACTGTCCCCACCACTGTCCCGCTGTCCCCTCGCCACTGTCCCCATCTCCACCGTCCCCACCACTGTCCGCACCCCCCCTCGGTTTTCGAGGGGGGGGGGAGGGTTCGAATCGGTAGTGACCCCCCCCCCGGTTTTCGAGTTCGAGGGGGGGAGGGTTCGAACCGGTAGTGACCCCCCCCCCTTTTCATGATGAACTGGGGGGGGAGGGGTTCGAACTGGTAGTGACCCCCCCGCGGTTTTCCGGAGGGGGGCGGGGGGGAGGGGTTCGAACCGGTAGTGACCCCCCCGGTTTTCCGCCAGCAGCGGTAAAACACGCTCTTTCGATGCTGGGCCTCGCCCTGGGTGCCCTCAAACTATACCCCGTGGGGAACTTCACTCGAAGCGGCGATTCGATTTACGTCTGAGCTCTCGACTTTCGGTTCAGACATCAAACAATTAGTGCGCGTTTGGTGGTAGCGTCGGTGGGAGCATCCGCATGGTGAGCTCGCAGATTTGTGGAGGAAAATAGGCCAGCATCTTTAGACTCGTCCGTACGAGCAGAGTGTGGTCCTTCAGGTCTCCTCCCATCTCTCCCCAGGGCATGATCTCTCGCGACATCCCCAGGGGGATGATCCCTGGCAGTATGTTGTACATAAATATATGTATGCAGACGAGCTCGCTGGTAAAGTGGCTAAGTTTTACAGCCTGTCGGAGAACACTCGGTTTCACCTGCCCCATATCGAACGGAAAGCGTTGTTGGTTCGGAAGCGTCTGATGAAGGCGACCATGGAGTCGATCAATGCTGAACAGGCCTTACGAAAAACTGAGAAAGCGAGGTCAGCTGCTGACGCCTCCGCCGCCGTTCCTTCTCCTTCCCCGCCTCCTCCTCCCCCGCCCCCTCCCCCATTCCAACCCTGCCGCCGTCGCGCTGCTCTGCTCGGAGCACACGGTGGCCGACGAGGAATGGGAATGCACGCAGCGTTCCAACTCGTGCACGAAGGCCGGCCGCACCCAGTGGTTGTCGACGCGCTGATATCTTCCTCTGCATGTGTCCCAGGACCTGCATCAGCATCCCGCAGGGGTTCAGGTTCATATAGCACGGGGGGTCATTCCAGTCCCCGTCCTCCTCCTCCTCCTCCTCCTCCTCCTCCTCATCCTCCTCATCCTTCCCCTTACTCCCCTCCCCCTTCCAATCCTCCTCATCATCATTACCACCACCACCACCATCGTCATGACCGCCATTTGCATCCCCCTCGTCCTACCCCTCCCGCGCGACTGCCTCCCTGCTGGGACGGGGGCTGGCGCTCCCGCGATCCAGAGCATCCGCACGTCCTCCGCACCGCACCACTGCCTGAAGCGCCAGCAACGCGTGCCATCGTCGTCGCCGCCGTCGCCGTCGCCGTTGCTGTCGACGCCGCCGATGCCCCTGCCGCCGCCGGCGTCGTCGTCGCAGCTGAATACCTCGCCCCCCTCGGCGGCGGCGGCGGCAGCGTCGTCGTCGTCATGGTCGTGGTCGTGGTCGTGGTCGTGGTCGTGGTCGTGGTCGTGGTCGTGGTCGTAATCGCGGTCGTCGTCGTCGTTGTCGTCGTCGTGGCCGTGGTCGTGGTCTCGGTCGTGATCGTGGTAATGGTCGTGGTCGTGGTCGTGGATATCGTCGGCATCATCGTCGTCGTCGTCGCTGTCGTCGTCGTCGTCTGTCGTCGTCGTCGTCGTCGTGGAAGCGGTCGTGGTCGTGGTCGTGGTCGTGGTCGTAATCGTGGTCGTGGTCGTCACCGTCGTCGTTGTCGTCGCCATCGTAGTCGTCGTCATCGTCGTCGTTGTCGTCGTGGTCGTTGTCGTGCTCGTGGTCGTCGTCGTGGTCGTGGTCGTCGTCGTCGTGGCCGTCGTCGTCGTCGCCGTCATCATCGTCGTCGTCAGGCGTCGTCGTCGTGGTCGTGGAAATGGTCATGGTCGTGGTCGTGGTCGTGGTCGTGGTCGTCGTCGTCGTCGTCAGTCGTCGTCGGCGTCGTCATCATCGTGGTCGCGTCGTCGTCGTGCTCGTCGTCGTCGTCGTGGCAGTCGTCGTCGTTGCCGACGCCGCCGTCGCCGCCGTCGCCGCCTGAAGTGCTGGCCGCGCATGTCGCTGCAGAGGCTCTCGTTCTGCCTGGCGCCGCCGAAGTCCTGGCGCAGTTGGCAAAGGAGGAGGCGGAGGAGGAGCTCTGCGACGGCTGCGCAAAAGGTTTTCCGAGGTGTTCGGTTCTTGTTGGGCCCTGGGGGAACTTCCAGGAACCTCCAGAAGTTTGAGGGTGAGGAGGAGGATGGTGAGGAGGAGGAGGGAAAGGACCCAGAAATCCAGCGGCGGACTGATTGCGTAGCGAACCAAGAGTACGAATATTTGAACGGCAAGCCTCCAATGGCCCCGACATGACCGCAAGATGGCATAATGCAGCCTCAAGATGGCCCAGGATTCCCATGCTAGCCGAATGGGTTTCAACGACGTGCCGAGACGGCCGAATAGCCACTCCCCCGAAATGTGTGCCCGAAATGGTTGAAGCAAAATGCCCGGGACGTACCCGACCCCTTCTGCACGCGAGGTGACTATATATATATAATACGTGATACAAAAGAACACGGTGCAAAATATGCAGCATTCTTGCATGCTTCGCCAAACAATGAAGAGCCACGCGCGTCGCGCACTTGCGTAAATCAGATCGCAGAGGGGACGGCGACGACACGTACGAACACGGCGACTGTTGCACAATTCGCAGCCCACCCACAGAACAGCGAGGTCGCGAAGTGTCGCTTTCCCTACCCACTCCGCTGTACCACTCAGGTGCCCACAAACGTGACGACAATTGCGCAGTTAGCAGCGCTCCAAGCGAGCCGCGAGATCTCGCCTGGATCCGTATTGCCCTACACTCCGCCATGCCTCCCAAGATCACACGAAAGAGGCGTCAGTTGCGCAGATGGCAGCCCCCGACCGAGACGCGAGGTCTCGCCCGCATCCGCGCTGTCCTCACCTCCGCCGCTCCTCCCAGGAGCCCACGAAAGCGACGACGGTTACGCAGTTCGCAGCCCCCGAAGGAGCCACAGGGTCTCGAAGGGATCCCTCGCCGAGGCCCCCGACGCCCCCAAGGCAGCAGCTGGCGGCGCGTCGCGCCGAGTTCCCCTAGCAAGATACGTCTTGTCTTTCGCGCCCGTCAGCCTTGTCTGGACCAGCTTCCTCGCATATGCGCATATGTGCCTGTGTCGCGGTCGCCCCCGTCTCAGTGCAGTCGCGTGAGAGCCTCCCTTGGCTCCGCTGCTTGACCTGCTGTCACTGTGCAACGAAGCCAGAGTCACCGCCAAGAGGGCTCGCCTACATCTGGAGGTGTATGTGGGCTGCACTCGAGTGTTTATCTTTGCTCGCATTACGATAGTATTCAAAAATCCTCCGCCCTCCCTCCTCCATCCTGCCCCCCTCCCTCGTCCCTCCGCCCTTCGCCCTTCCTCCGCCCTCCTCCCTCCTCATCCCCTCCTCAAGGCACTTGGGCTCAAGACTTGCTTGAGCTCGGGCCCCGACCCTGGACCTGCAATGGTGCTGGCTTGAGCGCTGCTGCTGACGGCACGGCCTGTCGTCGGTGGCGGTGAAGTTCGGGGATACCGGCGCGGCGCTCTTCTGCACGTTCATCCTGGTTCCTATCTCGCTCGTGTATGTCGAGCCTTTCGAGAAGCTGAATTACGTCGGCTGGCATGGCGACGACGTGCGCATCCTCGTCAGCGACCAGCACGCCTGCGACCTCGTCGGTCGTCAAGTTGGTGGGCGCCCTGTCTATGGTCGTGCGTACGGAGGCGGGCTTCCGCAAGGTGCTCAAGCCACCTGCACCTCCCAGGCGCCTGGGTGCTGGTCTGGCGGATGGGCTGCTGGTGCAAGTGGGACTACCCCCGCTGCCTTCCGCGGCGAGGTCTACTCTTACGCCACTGGCGCCTCCAGACAATCCGAATATGATGAAGAAGAAAAGGATCCAGTACGACAAAGAGAACAACAAGCAGGGGACAAGGCAGAAGAGCGGTCGGAAGTGCACCTTCTTCAAGCACCTGAAGGGTCAAAAGCGCAGGAAGAGCAACACGACAGCGGTGAGCTTTCCTGTTCCGACGCCGCCGCCGCCAGGGATCTTCC